ACGACTATTAAAAGAGTTTAAAATTTTTCACATAATCATTGTTGCTGTCAGGTATGAAAATGAACAAGCAACTCTTTTCAATAATCCGTAGCTATTTCGTTTCTTTAAATACTGCATATAAGACATTTCGGATGAACTGTAGGAATCCAATCTGAAATATGTCATACTTAGAATATGTTACTCAGTTCACTCTTGTCTTAAGATTTAACATGTCACTAAAATTTATCCGACAAATAGTTCTTCTGCTAGTAGATTTTGATGCGATTCGCATAGACGTCCTTTTACATCAATAGGTATCTGTATCAACGAAGAATTATAATATGGAAAGCGTTCCTTGATACAACTACATTTAACGCAATAAAATTTAACAGTGTACTTCGCAGATGGAAGTTTACAGTTTGGTTTGGTTGGGTCTGGATACATCCATTTTTCTTCATGTGGCAGGACTATATCGTATGGCACAATCTTTTGTCTACGCGGAAACTCCATCCTGCATTGCCTGCACTCAACTGACTTCGGTTGATCATCTAAAAAACATACAATCAATGGTTTGTTGTTGTGATGAATTTCACTGTATGGATGACATGGACGCTCGCTTCGCACCTTGTTTTTGTCGACAAGCCGCCCCCTTGGTGGTCTCCATGGATTCTTGTGACAGCCCCCTTTCTTTCCTTGAGCTTGCTTCGTCGGTTCGACAAGTTCACTTCAACTTGGATTTTATCTGCCTTTTGTTTTTCTCAGGTACTCCAAGTGCTGAGATAAAATGCCAGAAACTTCGGCTACGCAAAGACTGTGTTTACAAATTTTGTTGTGTTTGAAGCACTGACAAGTACACGAACAGTGATCACGGTAGAGAATAGACTCGTACAATCCATTCTTACAGGTTTTTGCCGCAACCATGTACTTTACTCTTTGATTAGGTTCAAGTGATGGCATCTTCTGAATTGAATTCTTGCAATTTAGTAACTTCTTTGCCTCCTTAACAATTGTTGAGATCAATTCATAGATATCTTATATACACTAGATAGCGCATCTCTTTTAGTAAAATTGAAGCCAAGAAAAGTCCAGCGGTTACCCCCATTTGAATAGATGGCAGCCATGTTGGTCGTTCCCACTTGCTAATAAACGCTTAAAAACAACAATAACTTTCATCATTTGAAATGTTTAAAAACGTATTTGGAATAGGGGTTAACTTAATGTTTAAGAAACCTGTTCATGAAATAGAGAACATACGAATCTCCTCATTTTATGGGAATGACCTGAGACTGCAATCACGGCTTCAATTTTTGAATTGCAGAATAATTAGATGCACTATCTAGTGTATATAAGATATCTATGGATCAATTCCACTGATACATTTAGTGACTCTAAGGATTGTCTAGATCTACAGAGAATTCCTTAAACTCCAGAAACTCATCATAGGGTGTTTCCATATTTGTTTCGATTGTTTTTTCAGCGACAGCGTCTTCAACACTCATTTGGTTAAATTTTGAAACATAGCATTTCCTTTGTCAACTGGTCATTTCAAACCATTCGTCTGCCAGGCGCTCTAAGTGACGTACCATATCCGATAGCTCGAATTCCCGACTTAAGCCACAAATTGCCATTTCTAACTCCTCCTGCTGATGCTTATCAACTTCTTCCCACACATCTCGTGTAAACTGTAGTTTGGTTAGGTTTACCTTGTTCTTGTCATTTTTTTTACTATTGCCTCCTTTTGACGAGTTAATTTATTGTTAACACTTTCTGATTGATTTGTGTAACACCGTAGCGGTACTCCAGAACTGTCACAAGGCATCCCAGCCTTGTTTCTCGTGTCTGCTATCATGCATTTTTTCATCATGCTTCTATGACCATGAAGGTAAAGCTAAAATTGTGAGGTATCTGTACCTGTCAACTTCTCTTCTTTTTTCAATGGTTCTTCCATGGCTGATAACCTATGTTTTAAGTCGGACTTATCAACAGCATCAAGAATTCCAGAACCTGAATCGCCAAACACCTTATCCAGAAAAAACTTCTGTTCCTTCTTCGTTTGAATCTTCAGGCTGTAAAGTTTGTCCTTACAGTTTTGATAAAAATGCCTAAAACACCTAAGCCCAGTTGCATGTTTCAGATCCTCCTTAAGGGAATCATGAAGTGCTTGCTCGCCATCTGTAATAAAGCCTTTTGCATTTTTGGGCAGGTTTGGTGAAGTATTTACAACAGCTGAAACAATCTTCTTGTACACAGATTTCTGTTTGCTATGGTGGATTGCAGTTGGTCCAACGAAAGTGGGGGCTAACCCAGTTCTCTTTGATTTGAGAAAAAGATGTTTATAGGTGAAAGGGGTGACCTCGTACTGGCCAAAGTTAAAAGTTGGGTCGACGCTGAATGGGTGATTCACTAATTTGTCATATGAGACTTCCTAGTACCCATAAATCTTCTGGAACATCATGATGCTCTATGACAATCGCCTCCTCTCTGTGTTTCGAATATTGTAACAGTTCATCAACTTGGTCAGTTTTCTTCATATTACGATTAAGATCATATACCTGCCTTTTGGATCTTGGCAATTCTCCAGGCTCACATGCCCTCACTATTCCACCAGCACTTTTCACAGCATCATGGCACTTCTCTTAGTCAGATAAAAAGGGTACTGCGGACTTCTTTGAGTTGCCATGTGGGCCCACGGTAAACACAACTTCGTCGGAAGTCTTATCCAACAAATTATACTGGAGCAAGCATTTAGATTAACTATCTCACCATCACATCCTCTTAAAAGAAATACTGACCGACACAACCCAGCCGCATTTTTGGTTGAATGAATGTACACATGAAATTGTCGTTCACACAGTAAAGAAACTTTTTTCTTTTCAATTTTTTTTACATTGTTATTTTCATTGACATCTATTGTCCATGTTGCTATCCGAAGTGTGTTGTAATACACGCCATTCATATCACTTTTCACATCCTGCCAGCAATTTAACTCAGATGTGTCAATACCAAAAGAGATATTTCTCCTCACACGAAGTGGAACCTTCGAGCTCATTTTGGGTTGGTCGTCCAGCAAGATTTTCACTGCTTCTGGTACAGTGTATCTTTGTTTCTTTTCTCTTTCTAACACAGGAATGTCAGCATCATTACTATAAATACTTGTAGATGTATCACAGATTTTACCATTCTGTGATTTATCAGAACCACAAATGTCCGCTGACAGACTGGAAATCTCTTTACCTGTAAAATACAGAATATACTGTATACCCCAAAGTCCGATAATGTGACATTGGGGATTTTATCGCACTAAGCTGAGCGAAATTTTGGTCAGCCAATCAAAATCTTACCTCTGTGGCTCTGTTTAAAAACAATGACTTTGGGTACATTCATGAATCACACTGCATAGTTTCTGGGAAAGTATTAAATTACCCAAGACATGCATTTATGATTTATATATTTTTTAATTTTAAAGCATACGTAATGACATGTACCACAGTATATAGGTTGTACAGTTCATATGTCTAAAAATGTCATTGTGCTACCTTATACTCAAGCTTATATTTAAATAAAGTGCTTATGCCATGTTTGATTGAAACGCCAAGAAGGCAAGTTAAATAAGTTAAAACATTTTTGTGCGCGATAAAATAATTACCGCACATTGCACAAAATATTATTATCCCACACATGAACTGTATAATTGTGTGTTTAATGTACTCTAATATAATGGCTATGATCCACTCACTTGTGTACCGAGTGTCCACCAATCTAGGTTTCTTGCACACTGTGGGTGAAGACGTTCTTAAATCGCATTCAAGACTACATGATTCGCTGTACAAAAGAAGTGTGAAAATAGATAAAATTATTAATGGTTCAAATGTTCATGCAAACCACACCTACTGTAGAAATAAAATTTTGTGGATCTCAATCACTGAATTATATAACATGGAAGGTTAACTCCGGTTGAAAAAGTGAAGAAAAAAGGCAGCTTATTAAGCTTCTTGGGCGTCAGTTTCAGCCGCCCTCATGCGCGGTCTCCCATGTCTATAACAGAAACTGCATGTGTGAGGGATAAAAACTGATGCTTTAGAATGGCTTGTTGCATGTTAGTCACTGTCAGGAAGTAACTTATGGTTGTCGCCTCCGCTTCAACGTAGTTCACAACATCACAAAAGTTTTAAGAGTATAGATATTTAACCAAAAAGTAACAATAATAGATCAATTAATAAAATACTTGAAATGTTCTCCCTTGTGTCCCAGTTAACATAATGTCCCCGATATCATTATTCACTGTTTGCCTATCGATTAGACTATATCACTCTCAGTCTACACAGTAAAATTCAAAGGGTAAAAGTTACTCCAAAAAGTGGGGTAAAATTTTGGATTTTTAGGATTTTGTGAACTGCGCACTGCTATTCAAATGAATATCGTTTTGGCAATGTTCATGCATATAAAACGAAACATTTAAAAAGACAAAACCTTCGTGCAAAATTCACGCGTAAAAACATTATAACACCAAATAACAAAACCTATAGCTGTAAATTCTTGCTTTACAGAGATTTGGGGTGTGTAATTAAAGCACTAGTTATATACTTACTGTTGGATATTCAATAACCCCATCCTTCAGCTGCTTGAAGCAGTTGTATATACTGTTTCCCAAACTGCATGTATACATACTGTAAGATAAAAATAACATCAAATGCATTGTCATTGAGTTCATGTCATGATAATAATGCGCGTATGCATTGGGAGGGGGGGATTCATCAGACTGTGAGCGGTTTGCATTTATTTAATCCACACTTTTTCCATTGCATGGGGATCAATCTTTAATTTAACTCATTAAGCGGCAATGCACCCGAATGCGCCCTGAGATTGGCAAGGGGGTAAGCGGCAATGTGCCCGAATGCGCCCTAACATGACTCCTTAACTTGCGGGCATGATATTTGAGCACGTGTTTATCGGGTTGCCTAGCAACGGATACGAAAATAGAACGTG